GAGACCATGGGAGTTATATTTTATAACAACTTTTAAATTATAATATTAATTATATGACACGTAAAGAGAATCTTTTGTTTGGAAAACATCACCATTTATTTAATTTGGTTTTTCATATAATATGACTATATTAAAAACTATTTCAATGACAGCGTTGAAACAGCAAACATGTAAATGCATCGAATTCATTGATACAATAACGAATAATGGAAAAATGATTATAATCTTCTTCTTCTTCTTCCTCGTTCTCGGTGACAGCAGCTAAACAGTCAGTCCGATGTCGTTCACAAAACTGTGCAGTTTGCAATATATATAACAATCCAACATTATTACCCTGACTTTGAACAGAGCAAAGATGTAATAAGAAAAAAGATCAAATGTTGGGTCCCGGAGTTTTAACCAACAAATAGCAAACTACAGTGTATTACTATGCATTTAATTTAACAATGTCATGAACACATGATACAAGGAACAATGTTGTGACAACTAAAAATTTTTTTACACACAATCATAGTCTCTGTACAATATTTACATAAATTATTATATAATTTCCTTTTTTCTGAGAACGTTTATACCAGACAGTTTACGTAATGGTTGTTGCTGTTTTACTTCCTGCAGAAATGTCTTGTCATGTTAGATTCAATTTTTTTCCTCTAGAAAAGTTGGAAGAGCGTTTTGTAGTCAAACAGATGTGATAAGTCTCACATATGTGACAGACCTGAACATGATTTGAAGTAAAAAAACAACACACAAAAAACCACAACAAATAAAAAACAAAAAAAACAAAAAAAACAAACCCAGCAACAACAACAACATGATACAAGGAACATTACTAATTACAAAAGATCCCCCTATATGCCACATGCGGACGAAGGAAGTATACAGGGCATTTTCCTTAAAAAGAGAGGCTCTTATTATGTCCCGCAGTGACCAGTCATTACTGGCAAGAATCAGGACCGGTCACTTCTCTGGGCTGCGGGCCTACAAAAATAGAATAGACAGAACATCGGACCCAACCTGTCCATTGTGCAGCGAGGAACCCTAAGATTTGGAGCACTGGCTGCAGAGATGCCCCGCCACGGAGGCCCGGCGGTGGCATCTCTTCGGGGGGGATTCAGGGAGGTTGGACTGCCTCACCCGCTACCCAAAGGAGGCGGTGGCCCTGGCGAAGAGCACGCTCTTCGGGGCTCCAAACATTTCGAACGGATAGGCTACCACACACAACAACAACAAAAGTCTGAATCATAAATTCTCATCTGGTCTGAACACAAGGCAGATGAAACTTTACTTTAAATGTGTGAGAATGTCACGTCCCATCTGATTACGTGATTTCTAATGTCCACTCTAAACTTGCAAGAGTGTAATGTCTCATCTGATCTCGTGATCTTTGGTGTCTACAGTGAGAGTATTAAACATGTATGTAATACGTCTTATCTGAACACTTGATCTCTAATGTCCACCTGTGAGAATATTGGGATCTCTGGTGTCCACTCACTCTGTGAGAAAGTAAGGATCCCTGGTGTCCACTCACTCTAAACCTGTGAGAGCGTAGTGTCCCGTCTGACCACCTGTCTCACCCCACCAGCCGCCTGACTCCATGCGTAGTCGTATCGCTTGATGTCCCTCTTCACACTGGACGCTTGAGATTTGCCCTGAAGCAGGCAGTGCCTCACCACCACTCGACATCCCTGGCCCAGCGCGTTGTCCACTTGGCTTCGGCACCACGAACTCAGCAGGTAGCGCTGCCATTTCTGATTGGACAAACAGCGAGAGGAGAAACGAGGAAACATGACGTGTCGTCTTTTGTTGGAAGTCTCCACAGCAACCTCGAAGAGTCTCAGACCCGACGCATCCTGTCCGGGCCTCGGAGCAAGTGACGTACGTCTATACCCGGGTCTTCCGAAACGTTTCACCCAATCGCCTTTCACCATTTTGGTGTCTGCCACGTGCGGCACAAACGCGGTGACCCAGGGGGCCCAGTTCATCGAGCGAAGACAAAAGTTGGTCTCTGGAACATTCTCCCTCTTCAGACGAGGAAGATTCTTCAGTTTGAATTTATCTAGTCCTGTTGGTGCCTCTGCCTTACTCGCCCCCGTTTTCTTGGGCGTTTTTGGCTTCATCAGACGCATTGTTTTCGGAGCTTTTGGAGCATGGGTGCTACTCTTCTTAGTGAGTTTCTCCATACTGGACCCTGCTCTCTTCAACGACACTGGTTTCGGCGCTCCTGCCAGTTTGACAGGAGAAGGAGCGGGTACCGATGATGGTCCCGCAGAAGCTGCTCCACGAGGAGCATCGTCATCTCTCAAAGATCTAAAAATGGCATCAACATCCGGCCCCATGACGCCGGCACGCGCCCTTGCCTCCTCCTCGTAGTTGGCGAACTTTGCCGTGTCGTTCCCTTCTCTGTAACACACCGCCATCATGACGTCAAAGATCCCTCCCATGTCTTCGAGATGCAGGCGTTTCCCTTTAGTGGCAGTTGAGATTGTCCTGTAGAAAGGCGAAGCATAGGGCCTATTTCCACACTGCACGCCGTACACGGTGACGTTCATTAGTGCGAGCTCTCTGACCTCCTCTCGCCAGTCGATGTTGTCTGTGTTGAGATAATAATCTGCCTCGTGGGGGATGTCGTCGCCGATGAGGACGAGGGCACGGCGAGAGCCTGGAGTCCACGAGAGCTCAGTCCGAGCCTGCCTCAACACCAGCTCGTAGCACTCCGGGGCATCCCCGCCTCCGGTCCGCTCCACATTGGAGACAAACGTACACAGTTTTGCTACGTCACTGCTGAAGTCTTCCCATTTGGTGACGTAGGTTTGGTTATCGCAGTAATCGCCATGAGCGAACACGGCTATTCTGATGGCGGGTATGTCCGCCTGTAGCCGTTGAATCATGTCTTGCAGTCGTCCACAGACTTGGTCTAAATAGCCGTACATGGAGCCGGTGGTGTCGAAGGAGAACACTACCTCCAGGGGTCCACAAGGAGGCATCGGTACATCAACAGGAGAAGACATATTTCGGCAGATATATAGGCCTCTACTAAAGACTCGTTAATGTTATTATAATTGAAATAAACTGGTTCAGAGTTCAGTCAATAATTCACGTTCAGTTGGTGAAGAATCTGGCTTTCGGCAACAGGACGTTCTCTCTCTCTTCTTTTCTTTCGCTAAGAGTGTATTCTGTTTCTTGCTCATACTACGCTTTGGTGGCGTGAGGCTTTGGTTTTATACACAATTAGCTGGGAACGCTGGCTCCGTGAAGCAAAAGGGCAATAACAAATTCCGCGAAGCCATAGTGCTATTTTAAGACAACCGGTATTTGTTTCCGCGAAGTAAGGATAGTTTAAGACGGTGAACGGAACTTCCTTGGGTCTCAGAGAAATAAACTGGATTTTTTCTCCCTTCTCTCTATCTTTAGGCCTATATACCCCCC